GGATTTTCGACTTTCCTATATCTTATACAGAGAAATGTCTCGATCTAAAATTGTTGGGCTTACTTCCATTTAGACAGAAAGTATGTGATGAGCAGATTCCGAGTTCGATCATCCCGGGAGATGGCGATGGGTTCCTCTTGGAACTATGTCATCTGGCGTTAATGGGACATTCTGGTGGTCACAGTTTTTGAGGAGATCTCCATTCCTTCGAAAACGTTCGAAGTCTTGTCTACCGTGCTACACGACCGGCATCATCAGAGCAAGCTCTCATCTCTCAACTAATTGAAGCTGTCTTATGTGAGCGCTCTTGGCTTAAATTGTAATGTACAGAATTTGCCATTCCCCCCTCCCCCCTCTTTAGAGGATTGCTCGGGCATCACTTCTCATAAGGCCTTGCGACCAATGGTGTACTATGACTGTAAAAGATTTTGCAGGTTCATGCTTACTTCATTCATGGCTTCCCACAAGGGCTTGAGGAATAGTTTTATAAAAGTCTCATGTTTTTTCGTACATTGGTCTTTTTTGGTGTCCAGGTGTTGCGCCGAGTGGAGGCAGAAGTGTAAACAATCCTGAATCAGGCGAATCGAAATGCATCAAAGAGGACCGTCTTCATGGATCTGCAGACTCCCTTTGTCATAGCTTCGATGCCAGACAGAGTGTCCCTGAATTCAGTAAGTTTATCGAGTGGCGGAGTCTTCTGTTGACTTTGACCTTTTCCGATTTTGCCGACTGCCTACTTCTTAGAAGTGCGTTTTAACTATTATACAACGCTATCTTTTAGCTATTAGATGCTATTTGCCACTTACTTGATGCCTCTTTAATGAGCATTTTCAAGTTAATTGGTCTGCCATCCTCAGGTAGTTAAGGGAAAAATTGCTGAGATTCAGGAGGTGGGAATTCACTACAACCCACTTCATAATCGCCATCATTCTAATTTTCACTTTCACCACCTTCTCGACTGACTTTTCGCCATTAAGCCATCTTTCGCAATTTCCCCCTTAAGTTTTCCTCTATTTCGAGGACATCCTCGGGCACTGGGCGGCACATTTGCAATGTCCTCACTTCTCAGGTGACCTTTTCCAGCACAGATCCACGCCCACCCCACACACGGCCGGCATGGCTGCTTTCGCCGGCCTGTACCACTGGAGGATGGCTTGGTTGAATAAACTGGCCCACTGGGAGCAGAAAGACCCGCCAAATTGTGCAGGACAAATATGCACAATTATGAAGAAAAGCAAGGTTTCGAAGCATCCTTCATTGAGTTATTGTGACATGACTTCCCATTTCAAGAGAAACGTTGCTTGGAAGGAATTCGTGAAATGCTGTGCTCACTTCCATTTCGAGCGACAGTGTTTGGTGAACAGACTCGAAGACAGATACCACAAGAAGACGACAGCCGATACCCCTCTTGCCAGATGTTGATTGGATTTTCAGGAACACTCATTTTGACGCGGCTTTTGAGGCAATCTTCTTCGATTCCGATGAAAATGTGCTAGGCTTTTGTTCGTAATGTGACGCACATCATCAAAGCAGGCTATCATTTGTAATATGAGATGTATTCACCCAATTTCGTTTAGCCTGATGAAGGATTGGTAGAAGAAGAAGTTTCCCACAATGACATTAGTAGAGCTGACGTTTCCATTCAATTTCACAAAGCCTTGCTTTCCCAAAATTTATTCTCAGTTTCGACCTCGCATCGGTCCTATCAACACCCCCAGCGGGATTCGAACCGTGGCAATCCAGCATGTGAGCTCACTCACTCGGCCACATTGCCACGAGTGCCTTTGGGTCAAAAGGGCAAATGTGAATTTTAAGGAAAGCCACGCCTTATCCCATATCACATTATTTGGTGAGCTTGTCGATGAAGCAAACGTACTTTTGCTATAACAATCGACTACGTTACTTATTTTTCGTATATAAGTAGAGTTTCGATACTACCAGTAAATCAGTAATATGAGATGTATTCACCAAATTTCGTGTAAGGTGATGAAGGACTGGTAGTAGAATTTTCCCACAATGAGATGAGTCGAGCTGACGTTTCCATTGAATTTTGCAGAGCTTTGCTTTACCAAAAGTTCTTCTCATCCAGGCTAGACTGCAATTTCGACTTGGCATCATTTGTACAACCATATGCTGGCTGACGTGTCAAGAAACTCGTTCGAATCTCTTCACCAAACACTTTTACTGCTTTTACATGCTAGGCTTGAGCGATTGGAGATTATTCATACAACGAAACCATAAATAGATCTTCACTTATAGCTTGAGCTAACCTCTGTCATTAGATGGGCTATAAGGGCTCAATAGCATTTCTAACCATGAAATGATTGAGGTCTCACTCTGATTTGCCTACCAAACGGTTTTCTTGTACCACCTGGGCAGAAGTTTCTTGACTCGTTATCTTGAATATGCTTGTCTCGGAAACGGCATTAACAAGAATGTTCCAGTAAAGCCAATCGACAGCTGGAAAGAGGA